AGCGGGGGGGCTGGCTGGTGCGTGGGCCTTGCCGAGCCACGCGGTGGTGCTCGCTGCTTCCCTGCCGCCCTCCTTCAGCCGCCTCCCATGCCTCTGCCATGCCTGCCCCCTTGGCGACCCTTCCCATCCACGCGTTCTTTCTTTCTTCCCGCTGCTTTCCTCCCGCGCCCCCCCACCCCACCCACAGGAGTTCGACTTTGAGGCACCCGTGAAGCTGCTAGACAAGATGCTCCATGCCCAGGCCGAGAACACCACACAGCAGGTGGGCGGGCGGGGCTGGGTGGCGCGCAGGGCCCGGTAGTAGCGGCAGGACCCCAGGCAGCGGGTGTGTGGGGCAGCTGGGGTTGGGGAGGGCAGCAGGCATGCGGGGCAGGAGGGATGAGCACCGGTCAGATCCCGGCCGCAGCACGCGCAGCGCAGGGGCGTGCGTGGGTTGGTGGGGAGGTGGCGGACGCGTGACAGGTACCCCGCTGCTCACCTTTTCCACCTCAAGGTGCCTGACCTGGCTGCCTGCCTGCCTGCCCGCCCGCCCGCCTGCGCCTGCAGGTGGTTGTGCTGAGCCAGGTGCTGGCTGCGGATGTGAATGTGGGGTACGAGGAGGTGGTGAACACGCAGGTGCGGCGCGCGTGTGTGTGTCTGTGCTGGTGTGTTTGGTTATTGCTTATGCGTGGCTGCCTGGTGTATGTACGCAGTGTGGAGCCTGCCTGCTGCAGGAGGGCGCCAGTACCGGCGCCTCTCCCACCTCAGCTGCCCCTTGACCGATCCAGGGTGCCATCAAGCGGGGTCCCGCCCGCACACGCGACGCCTGATCACGAGCCTGCTTACCCTTCTTCCTTTCTTCCTTACTTTCTTCCCCGCAGGTGCTCAAGGTCAACGGCCAGGCGGTGAACAACTTGCGGGACCTGGTGGAGGCGGTAGCTGCCAGTACCGGGCAGTACCTGGAATTCTCCCTGGAGTACAACCAGGTATGGTACAGTACTGCTGGCTGTACGGCGTCATGCACCGCTGCTTGCAACTGCTCGCCGTGACACGCCGCGGCCGCTGCTTACGGTGCCAATGAGCCGCCAACAGGGTGCACCGCCGACGGCTGCTGCTGCTGAGCGTTCTCCCCGCACCGCGCCGCATCTCTGTCTCACTCGCAGCTGATCATTCTGGACAAGGCGGCGGCTCAGGCGGCCACCGCCGACATCCTCACCCAGCACTGCATCGCCCATGACCGCTCTGAAGACTTGAGAGCAGAGGCGGCGGCGGCGGCGGGGCCAGGGGCTGCGACCCCGGGAGGAGCCACAGCAGATGGAGCTGCTGACGGGGAGCAGGCTGCAGCGGCGGCGGGTGTGAAGACAGAGGAAGGCGACGGCACTGCAGCGGCGGCGGCGACGGCCGAGAGGATAAAAGAGGAGGAGGAGGACGGCACGGCGTCCGGGATGGATGTGGAGGCTGGGGCGGCAGAGGGAGGGCTGCCAGGCAGCGGCGCCACGCCGGTCAAGGCGGAAGGCGGCTGAGCCCTGGTCTGCCCGCCGCCGCTCGTTGCTTGCTTCTGGCGATTGTTCTGCCGCTCCCCCTTTGGTGCTCCATTTCGTTCGTTGCACATTTGCACTGGCGTGGCATGCACAGGAATTGTTGCAGCACTCAAAAGCACACAGCCCTGCCTGGCCGTGTGGCGAGGAGAGGGAGGCGCCGCTGGCGCAGCCGGGCGCCTGGACCGCTCAGTGCCCCTGCTTGGCCGCCGCGCGCCGGGCCTTGCCCGGCCGCTGCTGCTTGCCGCCCTTCTTCTGCACGCCGCCGCCCCGCACGCCGCCGCCGCTGCCCTTGCCTGCAGCACACAGGGAGGCACACAGGGAAGGCAGGCTGGTCTGCATGGTGTGGCCCTGGCGGTGGAAACGGTACTGATGCCTGCCACGGTCAGGTACTGCCTGCCTCTGGCAGGTCTTGATGCGTCCAGGCTGCCGCCGGCGCATGCACATCCCACCACCCCTAGCCTTCCCAGCTTGCCCGCAAGCCTCGCAGCCACCCCAGCCAGCTCGAATCCCAGCCAGCCAAGCCCCGCCAGCCAAGCCACCCACCCCTGCCACCGCCGCCTCCAAACTTGCCGCCGCCGCCGCCGCCTGCCTTGCGCGCCACCTTGCGCCCCACGCCGTCGTCAAACCGCCCCGGCTTGTACCCATCCACCGCCGCCGCCGAGGCGGCATCGTTCTGCTTGCCCCGCCGCTTGGGCCCCCCAAACCCAAACTTGGCGTCGCGCTTGGCGCGGTGCTTGCTCTTGTCCCGGGGCGTGAAGCGCTCCCCGGGCTGCCGCCGCTGCTGCTGCTGCTGCTGGCGCCGGCCGCCGCTGCCGCCGGCGCCGCCGTCCAGGCGATCCAGCTCTGCATCGACATCCAGCTCGCCGGCAAAGCCCTGGGGGGGGGAAGAGAAAGAGAGGGAGGGAGAGAGGGAGGGAGGGAGGTCAGGACTCAAAAGTGCTGGCCGTGCGTGGGTCAGTCGGCGGTTCGTTGCCTGGGTGGGCACCTGCTCGTCAGAAATACTCCCCAGCACTCCCCCTTCCTCCCAGCCTCTGCCCCCACACGACCACCACACCACCAAGCCGCCGCCGCAGCCGCCGCAGCCGCTACCCGCCGCAGCCGCCGCCGCAGCAGCAGGCCTCGCTCACCGACTTCTCTCGCTGCTTGCGCAGCTTGGAGATGCCGGTGATGGCGGCCTTCTTGCCCTGCGCCTTCTCCTTGGCCCGCTCCGCCGCCACCTGCTTGGAGAACTTC